CCCTTGGAAGGATAATTTCGAGCTTGCAAGCAACAGGCAAGTAGCCGTTACTCGAATGAACAAGCTTGTCAACCGTCTCGACTACAGAAAAGGACTGCTCGAAACGTATGACCGTACCATAAGAAAGTACTTGAGGACAGGACACACCGAAGTAGTCAGTGACGCACCTGCAGAGGTGACGAAATTATATTACCTGCCGCACAAGGAAGTCATGCGTGAACAAGCACTGACGACGAAAATGAGAGTGGCGTTTTACGCTTCGTCACATGCCAAAGGATGCAAGTCCCTTAATGACTGCCTTGAAAAGGGTGAAAACTTATACCAAGACCTCGTGCAAACTCTGCTACGCTTCAGAATGCACCCGGTGGCAGTTATCGCGGACATAGAAAAGGCATTCCTTCAGATTGCGATTCGGGAGGACGACAGAGACGCTTTCCGCTTCCTCTGGTCTGCAGAAGGAGATTTATCCAAGGGCAAGCTGCAAGAGTGGAGGATGACACGAGTGCCTTTTGGAGCTACATGTAGCCCATTTTTGCTCACAGCTACTATTCTTTACCACGTGAAAAGAGCACCGGCTGTCATGGCACGAACAGCTCAAACTCTTGCCGAGTCGTTTTACGTGGATGACTTAGTCACTGGTGCCGACACAGAAGAGGAAGCCACTAAACTATGCCGAGAAGCGCGCACAATAATGAAATCAGCCGGCATGACATTGCGAAAACGGACAACAAAATCAGCAAACTTGATGCGCACGCTTGAAAATCAAGTGCAATCTACTAGTAATGAGTTGTTCGTTCTTCATGAAACGTCGGTCAAGGTCCTGGGTTTGGTTTGGAATCTTGCAAAGGATGAATTCAATTTTTCGGTTGAAAATCTACTCCAGTTTTTGACAGCACAGACGAATACAAAACAATTTGTCTTGCAGTCAGCATCAAGAATATTTGACCCGTTGGGATTTGTAGGACCATATACTATTGACATACGAATATTGTTTCAGAGACTGTGGATACGAGGAATTGGCTGAGATGAAGTACTACCCAATGACCTGCAAAAAGAATGGAATGATTGGGTCATCCAGCTGCCGCAACTGCAAGACGTCGTCGTTCCTCGCTATCTGGGTGGCGGAGCAAGGAAGCCCAATGTGCTTCAGGCACATGTTTTCTGCGATGCCAGTCCAGCGGCATACGGAACAGCAATATATGTTGTATCAAGACCTGAGGAGCCGATACTGTTGATTGCGAAATCCCGTGTAATACCCATTAAGGAGATAACGCTGCCGCGATTGGAGCTGCTGGCTACCTTAATCGGCTCAAGAATGTTGGCATACGTGAAAACCGATTTGAGGAATGTTAAAGTTGACTAAACGATGAGGAAAGACTCCGCCATTGTGTTGTCATGGATAAAAGGTGACGTCAAAAGTGGAAACAGTTCGTAGCCAACAGAGTCAGTGAAATTAGGTGCACTACAGATCCATCAAAGTGTAGATACTGTCCTTGAATGGACAACCCGGCTGACCTACTCACACGTGGCGTGACGCTTGAAAGACTGCTGTGCAGCTCACAATGGTGGCATGGTGGCTAACTAAACCGTGGCTAGCCAGTGGCTAACTAAACCGATGTCTGAATGGCCCCTACAGTTCAGCGAACTAGACATAGCGGAAGCTACCCAAGGTGAAGTTACAACAGTCCACGTCGCACTAATGACATGCTTCTCAGTTCCAATAATTGATATTCAACGATACAGCAGGCTTCAGCACCTACTCAGAGTCACTGCGTGGATTTTCATATTTACTGACCGATGCAGAAAAATAAGTAATCATACATGACATCTCGTGGCAACAGAATTCGTGAACGCTGAACAGTATTGGATAAGATGTGCACAAGAGCAAGGCTTTCTCGAAGAACTCACCACTTTGACCCATGGCCAACCAGTCGAGTCTACATCTCGAATCGCTGAACTACGCCCTTACATAGGCAAAGAAGGCATTCTTCGGGTTGGAGGCCGTTTATCTCTCATGCATTTCACACAAGATGTCAAGCACCCAATCATAATGCCGTCAAGCCACCACTTTTCGACACTTTCGGCAAACAGACCCCATCTTCAAGTCTTACATGGAGGAGTTAAAGATACACTTACGCAGCTTCGGGAACGCTACTGGATTTGTCGAGCTCACTCTTTGGTAAAAAGAGTGCTGCATGGCTGCAATATATGCAAGCGTTTCCGTGCGGGCCCAGGGAGTGCTGAGACTGCTCCGTTAACAAGTCATCGAGTGTCACCAACGAACCCGTTCGAAGTTGTAGGAGTCGACTTCACAGGCCCTCTGTATGCACGCACGGAGAAAGGGGACACGAAGTGCTACGTTGCACTTTTTACGTGCGCCGTATCTAGAGCCGTGCATCTCGAGCTTGTCTCGGAAATGACATCCGGGGCTTTCCTGCTGTGCCTACGACGATTTGCAGCTCGGAGATGATTACCTATGGTGATCTATTCTGACAACGCACGAAGCTTTCACAAGACATCGGCAGACATAAAGCGGCTACACCGAATGTTCTCTGAAGAGGACGTCGCTGGTCACCTCAGCACCAACGGCATTTCGTGGAAGTTTAGAGCACCAAATGCTCCTTTGTAGGGTGGATAATGGGAGCGCCTTGTACGATCAGTGAAGCTTCTGCTGCGAAAAAATATCAGCAAATCTCGTCTGAACTACGAAGAAATATCGACAGTGCTGGCGGAGGTCGAAGCAGTCGTAAACTTTAGGCCTCTAACTTTCATCGAGACAGATGCAGGAGAACCTTGCACTTGGACGCCAGCCGAACTTCTCCTTGAACGAAGGTTGACTTCCATACCGTATGCGACCGCTGACGAAGTCAACAGTAATTCCAAACGATCAGACGCCATACGCAGACACAACTACAGGAAGCTGCTAGTTGAAAATTTTCGGAAGCGTTGGCAAAAAGAATACCTGTTGCAATTACGATCTGCACACTTTGCCGACACGAAATCAAATATAGCAAAGACGCAAGAGGACATCGTTCTCGTGCATGCGGACAACACACCACGCCAGGTATGGAAGCTTGCAAGGGTCACGGAAGTGTACCGCCGTGCAGACGGTCTGATTCGTTCTTGCAAGATGAAGTTGCAAGGCGGTCCCCTTGTGATCAGGCCTATACAAAGACTGTACCCACTTGAACTATGTGTTTAACTTTGAGCGGCCGGAAATATTGATTATTTTTCACGTTCTGGGCGGGGACAAGGAAACGAGAAAGAAGAAGAGCGGGAGCGAGGTACGCGGGGACGCTCAAGTGACAGCAGAGCGCTTTCGAGCGCAGTTAAATAAACAAGTATTTTTGCCTTAAACCTTAAAGACCGGGTTGAGTCTGATCGCAGTGTCTGGAACACCATCGTCCTAATACAGGTATATCATCTTGTATTAGGCCTATTTTTGGATACATCAGCAATTGGGCATATCAGCCTATATAAAGCCCATATAAAGGGATTCAATAAAGCCTTATATGACCAATTCGTGATGTAGCCATTTATGAATATTTTTATATGAGTCAATGTATAAGATTTTTTTAAGGGCTGGTACCTAAGTATGACAAGCTTGTGATTCTAAACATGTCGCTTTGCAAGGTCATCACATCAAAATTAGTTGAGTTTCCCTTCTGGAAAATTTCAAGCTCGTTACAAATATACCTGTTAATATACGCTATTGCTTGGAAAGTAAGTCCGCTAAGAAACAACGGAAATAGTGGCTGCCCCTGTCAGGAAACTTCATAAATAGGCAATAAACAAGCAATTTGTTTTCAGGCAGCTGCATGGGAAGCAAGCACTCAGAGAACTTTTCCTCAGCAAGCAACCTAATATTTTTCATGTGCTTGCTTCGTCTGGTATCCAGATATCGAGAGCTTTGCATTTTCCACTGGACCTCTCTGTGACTTTATGAAAAAACGAATTGGCACCAAACGCTCTGTGGTACCAGCCACTACCAGATGCCATCATTCAATTTTTAGATCCAATTACTGCAGAAGCAGTGTTTTTCTTCCAGCGAATGTGGAAGCTCCACGTACAACATTTTTTCTCCCTTTCTTCTGAATGAATGAAAACGTTAGTGCGACGAGCTCCCCACTCTCAATTTTGTTGTGAAACCATGTTGCCACGGCTCTACCGCAATACCTTGATGCCAGGAATTGACAACAATACGCTCTACGCCCTTGCTCAGGCAAATCCGTCTGCTGACGGTGCACTCACGTATCTATGCACCTTCGGTTGTAAAGAACAACTATATTTATTTTAACCTTTTGAGCCTCTCAAAGCATACTTAAATATTTCGCTTTGAATCGACAAAAGCTATATGTATAGAAATTACAGGGCTTAATATTGTAAAAAAATAAGTATATACCTGCAGGCACGCAAGCAAACCTACCAACACTACAACTTTTGTGCTGCTTTAGCACAGACAAAGTGCTTCGTCATTGAAAATTTGCAAAAGAAGTTTGGTGATTGGTGGTCACGTTTTTGAGTATTATCCCAGATAATTGTGGAAATCGTGGCCATCACTGTAGTTTAGTGATAAATCACTGACCGCACAATGAAGATATGAATATTTTCACCTTGAGGAAATGGTTTCTTCGGTTGTATTTTCAGTTTCTTGTTCTTTCTGCAATTCAATAAAATGAATAGATGATTTTCCTGAGCGTATTACTTGCGCTGTGTATTTTGCTTGTTTACTTTAGCATTGTTTTAGTTATTTAAAAAATAATACCACTCTATTCCCCTAAATTAACGTTTTTGCCCATTTATGAAGGCCGCACACTGTTCTGAGGCTTTGCACAAGCTTTTCCACGCTGTATTTTCTCGAAGGCTGCGTAAACCTTGAAATATGATGGCTCCATGTAGGCACCAGACTAGGTAAAATAACACAAGAAAATATAAGGCTTTATACTACAGTCGCAATGCAAGCGAACTATTCAGAGATGCTCTAAGAATGCCAAACTTACTTGTGTCCCTTTATATAACTCGAAACATCGGTCATCAAGAAAAGCACGAAGAGCGCAGTGAGCATAACTGTTTTCGCCACGAAGTTCATGCTTCTATCTAGAAGCTGCCACAAGAAGATGCGAATTGGCAAGTTCATGCATCTATATATGACTGCATGCTCCCAGATTGCTTTCACCGCATTCTCATCGTCATGCGAGCACAGGCAATCAATGATCACAATTTGATAGCTAATGCTGCAGCTGAAGCAAGAGCAAAACTAGTTCCATTCAGGCAACCACGAACAGCCTGTCGAGACACGTTTCGTTGCACAACCCTATGTGCGTGTTAAGCACTACCGAAGTGTCGAGCGCGTCATTGCCGTTAGTATGGCCGTTGCATGCATTTAGAAAGCCTTTTGTCACTCGTTCATTGTCGTGCAAGACTTAAGTTATGGCATCAGTCGACACGGCTGGCACACCTTTTGTCGTCGACGGTAGCGCGGCTCCTGCTCTTTCACGTTAGAAGGCGGACAAAAATAAGTACGTACATCATATCAAAGCGGTGAACTGCATGCAAGCTTTTGATAATTCTTTGGTGCGTTCATTCTGGCAGGTGACTTCAAAACCAAATGTCACATTCGCGAGAGTAAAACTTTACAAAAGCAATAAAAAACACGCTTAATTTCGCAGTTAAAGCTAGACATTGTTATTTTTGCTCACTTTATGAATCGGGCATCACCGTTCGCTTCTTAGTTTAATCAACTTGCCTCAGATTTCTAGGAAACATTACATAAACCTAAATACGGAGCTAACAGTGATTTAAACTTGATGTGCCCACGTTCCTACGCATTCACGTTCACCTTAGCAGCTTAAATATTATTCCGAGCTAGACTAAAGAGGAGGAGAGAGAAACGAATAACGGAAGCACAGAAAGGGTGACTGGGCGGATTAACACTACCCCCTTATCCAGTACCGGCTCGCTACACTGTGCTAGGTAAAGTAGTGAGGGGAAGAACACATGACAGGAAAGCCTTGTTAAAAAACACGAAAATACACCACTTAGATCCTATACAGCGCAGCTCTAGCCTAGGGGGACCTTTCTTTTTTTTTTTGCATGGAAGATGATGGGGAGGGAAGCAGAAGCCGGTAGTTGATTCTCCTGCCGAAAAGAGCAGAAGGAGGGAGAAGGCTGGTTGCGGCAATTTATACCACTTATAGACAATAAATATGTACCTTCTAAACCTTCTGTATTATCGCATTGCCATAGCTTGATACGCCACCTCATGCTAACGCGAATGATTCACCCAATATATCACCGACGAATCTAAGCACAGTGCCGAACCTATGTTGTCATCGTCCCTGCCTTGCTAGCAGGAAATTCGCCAGTTTTTTTGCCATAGCGTGGACTACAACAGAGCTATGGTATACCAGCTGGTATACTATTGTTGCCATTGTTGTTGTGATAGTGATCATGCGAACACTTAAGGCTCAATTTTTATCATCTTCACCTTGAGGTTCCTTTTAAAGTTTAAAGGCGATAGCATTGCCTTTATGACGTGTTTTATTGTTTACTGAAAGCACAGGAAGAAGGCCGACAACCTCGTCTCACCCCACCACAATAAATAAACACAATAAACAACAGAGGAGACAGAGAGAGTGAGAAAAAAAAGAGAGAGGAAAGACAGGGAGGTTAACCAAGCTTAGGTCGGTTGACTACCCAATACTTAGGGTGGGGTAAAAGGGGAAAAATAGAAAGGAAATCTATAGAAAAGAATTACGAAAAAGATGAATAAATAGTCAGCTCAAAACTACACAGCATGGTCTCACACTGCTCTTTCACAAACGCTCATGAAATCCGGTGGCCCTTCAAAAGCACAAGAGGGCTTTCGTGGTCTAGTGGCTAAGGTACTTAGATGCTGACCCGCAGGTTGCGGGATCGAGTCCCGGCAGCAGCGGCTGCATTTTCGATGGAAGCAAAAATGCTGTAGGTCCTTGAGCTCAGATTTGAGTGCACGTTGAAAACTTAGTTGGGCGAAACTTCCGGAGCCCTCCACTACAGTGTCTCTCATGATCTTATGCTGGTTTTGGGACGTTAGACCCCACATGTCAATAAACGATCAATTTTCCAGAGGAGAGAAAACGTGGCAGCCATCTTTCGCTGCAAAAAAGCCTGTGAGGGTATTAGAAAGCAGAGTTGTCGGGATCCAGCAGACAGTGCTTTGAGGATCCTGGCGTGGTAGCCTGCGCCTAATCTTGATAGGAGGTAGCAGAAGGCTTGTACATTTTTGCGTGCGGCGCGCTGTAAGTGTGAACGCTGCCAAGTATAATCTGACCTACCTTGTGATTTCTATCTTTACACGTCCCAGAGAAAGAGAATGACTTGCATGCAGGCAGGCCTTGGAGTGAAAACACTGAGTGGCACTGAGAGACAGTGGAACTGAAAGACTGTCCATAGTGTATGCGTACGAAGCTACGTCGTTGTGCTACGGCAGATGGAATCTCCCGGGTGTCAAGCAAAAAAAAATGAATGATGGTGCTTCGTATCCTTGTGGTTTCATGAAAAGCTGCAAGTCATATCACTATGCTGGCGCATCGCCTTAAGTTTTCGCATGTTACTTTGTGCTTATCTTTTTTCTGTGGGACAATGCATAAAACTGAAATAGCGACCTTTTTTGTCTGCGAAGCATAGAAATAGGAGGCAGGCACTGTGGCGTTTCTTTTTGCAGACAGTAGAAATGCTTGTTTGCGCCTCTTTATAGCCTAAGAACAATATGTGTATGCACCACCCATCGTACGCAAACATTACACTATAAAGTTTTCCACACAAATAACCAGAGAGAAATCTCGCGCTAGTGAGCTGCTAGATGCAAGCGAATGCTGTGATGTGTGACCCAGGCAGCACACCGGCGTTGGACAATCTTGGACACGTATCGGCTAACGTCAGCCGCAATATTGGCCCAAGCTCGTCATCTCGTCCAAGTGCAACTTCTATCGATGTAGGACCAATGTTCAAGCTGACCTAGGACCGACGTTCTGCCGTTCCATTTGCCAATAACCAGCCGACGCCGGCCCCATCTACTTATGCCAATGAAGGCCTGTCCTTTCACCGACGTAGTTGCCAACATACATCCTGCATAAGACCATTCTCAGGCCATTTTGTTGCCAATGAAATGCCATTATTACGCGACCATTCGCTTCACGACGAATATCGGCTACCAATGGCTTGCCAATATTCCACCGTTATTATTATGGGATTTTCACTACTGGCGTTCCTTAGCAGGTAAACTTTACATTACACCCCCAGAACTTCCCCTAGCAGCTTATGGCAGCCCCGTAGGAGCTTCATGGTGTAGTATACTTCAAGGCGACTGACCACTGGATGATTAGTGTTGAAACACTACACGATTCCACTAAATCATCTATTTTTCCATTTTTTCTTGCATTGCCTATCTCCCTCTCAACATGAAAGGCATAAGACTGCACAAGTCTAGTTACTGTCTAGTTTTCTCCACACATTCCGCCTCAGTTTTGCGAAATATTGTAACATAGTCTGTTACAATTTCCATCATGTATTAGCTAAAAAAAACTAAAATAACTGCTCGGAGCAAATATTCCGCAAACAAGCAATCTATAAATAAAAATACCAGAACACAGTTTTTGTAACTTTATTTTTAAATATACCAAGTCAAACCATTTATTTTTCAGTTCAGCTATTCAAGTTACTCTTGTTCAAAAATGCAGCCCAAACTAGGAGGCGAGTTCAGTAAGGCTCAATGAGCATAGGGCTGGCCAGGGCAGCAGAGGTGGGGCGATGATTTAGAGGCTGCAGCAGGAGATGAGGCAATGACGGTGGGCTGCCCAGGGTCCTGCAAGCAGCGAATGGGCAGAAAACCAACCATCTCAGGCTGTCGTAGATCCCTGGTCTGAGGGGCAGCAGCGATCGGGCTGCAAATTATGAACACATGTGTGAAGTGCCTTTTCTAACCTCCATCGAAACCAACAAACTTCAAACGCAGAACTTTTTCAGACACCTGCATACTTGAATATAAATAAACACCTCAAAATAAGTTCTAAGCACCACAGTATAACATATATGCAAACTAAAACAAAGAAAATGATGAAAAACAATGACAGCATACGTTGTAATGAACTATTCAGATCAAATTCTATGTGACCATTATGAAAAACAAAGAACAAATACTTCAACAGTCATTGTGCAAAAAAATCTGCCACAGACCAAAATATTTAGGAATAGGTATCAATGAATGTTGATTAAAACAAGCTTGTTTAACTAAATTACAAATAAACACAAGGTCTTTCATGATTTCTAAACATGACTTACAGGTTTGCAAGCCAGGTGAACTAGTCTGCAGCTATAGCCTATGGCTGTGTAAATTTATAACAGTAGAACAAGACACACGACCACACGAACTTTCAACTCTGGATTATTCTTGGGCACACATCAGCTAATACTGCACAATAGGATGACTGACCACCAAATAGACAACACAAGATAAAAGAATAAATGCAAACCCAATTTCAGCACTGACACTTGTGGATTATGGCAAGGCACATGCAATAATTTTAAAATGGTATTTTCAAATGCTATGAAAGATGTGCTGATGTGGTTTCGTATGTTGTTCTTTTCGCATTCAACAAACCTCCGAAATCCCACGTGCTTTTTGAGACTTGCATTGATCCGAAGTCTTGGTTTCATAGGAGACCAGGACTGGATAGGTGGCTCACCGAAAAACAGCACTTGGCACAGAGGCGCGACACAACTCAGCCATTCGCGCCCAGACGACCGGCTGCATTGAAAGCACGCACTTGTGGTGCTGCCGTGCTTCATTTTTTAAACGAACAGTTCTAAAAGCCATTGCGCTAGTAATACTGCACTGTGGTTTAAAAAAAGCTGTCTGAAGACTATTCTCACATCAATAGCGATTGAAAATGGAGAGAAGCTCTGCAAAGCAGACTGAATATATGCATGTGGCATTGAAGAGAGAGTGTTGTGCAGGGATGGTAACTCCCTCGTGATCATTTTCTGGCTGGGAGTTTGTGCTATGGTAGTACCGGATTATATGCCCGTGCGGTGACGATACTACACTGCGCACTTCTGTAG